CTCCCCCCTCTGCAGCTGGTGAATCCAGCGTTTGCGCAACTCCTCTGTCGGGGAGAAGACGTAGAGGGGCCCTTCGTCATATACCACCTGCAGAACCACATGCTTCAGCGCCCCAGCTGGGGGTCTCCCGGGGAGGATGGGGGGAGTTGAGGCTTATGGCCAGCCCGAGCAGCCGGACCGTGCCGGTGTGTGCTGGCCCCGCTGGTGCTCACGGGACCGTGGCAGAGAGGTTATAAATAAGCCCCCTCCCCCGAGACTTTCCACTTCCTTCTCTGACTTTCAGTGTGTCGGGGGCTGAGCTGGCAGCTATCAGCCAGCATCCCTCCAGCATCAGCCAGGGGACCGAAAGGGGCGGGACAGAGCTCAGAAGCAGGTTTCCATCTAAGCAGCCCCCTTAAATAGAGCTGCCCAATTCCTCAGGGCTTGCAGCGGCTCACCTGCCTGCCCCATGAATTACAGACAGCAGCAGGGCCTCCCCAAACGGCTGACTGACACCTGGCACGGGGGCAGCGACGCTGTGTTTGGCCCCAGGTCCCTCCAGGGTCTCCCCCCCCCCCCCCCAGCACCCTGCAGCCAGGCAGAGGGAACTGGCAAAGGAGGTGCAGCAAGGACTCACCTGGAAGGGGTAGGGGAACCGCTCAATGATTGAGATCTGCTCCATGTTGTTGTAATCCTCTCCTTTCCTCTGGAAGAGAGAGGCAGAGATGGACATTGGCACCTTACTGCTCGGCTGCTGGCATCTCCCCTGGGACCCGCAGCCTTTGGCATCCCCCCGCTTTTGTGTCAAGCTGGACCCCTGGTATGGTATGGGCTGTGGGTGCAGAGCCCCCCATGCCAAGCAGGGTTGTCCCCCATTCCCACCACCCCAGGGCAGGGTAACTCTCCCTACTTCCCCAGTGAGGGGACAGGGAGACACAAGCAGGGACCCTGGGACCTTCCTCACCGGGACCTGCCGCTCAGGCGGAGGGTTGTTTTCAGGCACCACCGTCTCCACACAGGTGATCTTCTCAATGTCCACAGAGCCCTTCTTACTGCCGCGGCGCTGCGAGAGACACGGACGGTTTGAATGATGACCAAGAGGAAGACCTGGGCAGAATCAAGCCAACCACTGTCCCCATCCAACCACCCCTTGGGCTGCGTGCTGGCAAGGGACAACCGGTGACCCGTGGGCACTGCCATGGCGCAGCCCTTGTGGCTGCCGACTCACCCCCCGCTCAAAGTCATACTCGTAGTAGGACAGCTTGCTCTCCGTCAGGAGGAACAAGCGCTTCTTGAAGTTGAGGGGAGACGTTTTCTTCTTCTGCTGCGAGCGCTTCAAGAAGATGCTCTCCAGGATGACGCTGGCCATGTTGGCCCCCCGGCCTCCTCCGCACCGTGCTCGCTGGGTTGCTGCGGGCAGGACCACACCAACACAGTGCTTGCTCAGCTGAAAACCTGCCAACTGCTGGGCTTCACTCACGCGCACTCTCCCCCCTGCCTGGGGGGCAGCCAGGGGGTGCTGGGACCCCCACGGGGGGAATCAGCTGCAGACGTGTGCAGGCAGGTCAGCGTGGGGTATTTGCAATGTGACCCCTCCCGCCTCCTCTCCGACACCAGACTGTGGACCAAGCCACCACCCAGCCAGCTTTGGCTCCCGCCGGATGCTGGAGGGGCCCCCGGGTGTGCAGACCGACAGACTGACACAGATGGCTGGAGAGGGAGGGAGCCAGGGAAGCTGTGAGAAGCGTAGCCCTGGGGAGGAGCACAGAGCCTGAGCAGCGACACCCAGCAGGCTCCCTCCTCCCCTACAACGTGGTGCATGTGTGTGTTTGTGTGGGCTGTTTCCTCCTGCTGCACCGCAGGCTCTTCAGGCTGGGGACCTGCTGACTTGGCAGCGTGCAAGGGAAGGCTGGAGGAAGCCAGTCCCTAAAAAGTTGTGGGTAGATCCTGGCCCTGAATAGCTGCAGTGCTGTGCTGCCGAGAGCACAGAGTAAGCCCTAAAGTCATCCTTCCCCTCTGCGGCTGTGGAGCCTACAGGAGCGCAGGGATGATGCTCAACCCCCTTTCCTCCCCTGTAAGCAGTGCTTGCCAGAGGCCAGGCTTGAAGGGCTGCCTCCAGCTAGCAACCAGAGGAGTGAAATCCTCTGCCAGCCCTCCTCAGTGAAGCTCCTCTCCTGACTCTCTTCTCTGGGGATGGTCCAGGCAGGAAAGGGCTCAGATGAGCGCCTCGCGTCCCACTGCTGCCCTGCCTTCAGAGGGCTGGAAATCCGCCTTGGCCCATCTCTTGGAGCAGCCCATCCATCTCGCCTGGTGCCCCTCCATGCTGCACCTGGGCTCTGTGATACCCAGATGGTTCCAGCACCCCACAGAGCCACGCAGCTGGAGCTGTGGGCTTCTCCTCCTCTGAGGGCTGTAACCAACACCTGACTCCAGCCTGGACCCAATGGGGAGACAATGAGCTACGGGGAGCCACTGCTGAACTGTGATCCCCTGGAGCTCGCCTCCAAGTCTCCTGCCCCAACCACCTACGTGCCCTGCTTGCCCTTCACCTCCACCTTGGTCCCTTTTTTCTCCTACAAACACAGCTTTGGAGGGCAACTTGGGTTTCCCTCCCCTGCTGCTCGCAGCCTGTCTCCTCCAGGGCAGGCTCAGAGGTGGGCCAGTCAGGGGTTGGGCCTGCCCATGGGTAGCCCATCCACTCCCCCCACGCAGGAGGTAGGCGTTGGCTCACCTACAACAGATATCAGGTGGGGACCAAAGATGCCAGGAGTTGGTCCCACCTGCTGTGCCTCTCTCCATGGCATACCCCAGCCCAGGGGCAGGAGCAGGGGTGTCCCCCCATCCGCTGGCAATGCCCAGACCCTCCCAGCACAGATCCTGCTGCTGCAGTCCTGACCCTGCCCCACTGCAGTGCCTATAGCCAGAGAGGCTGAGGACAAGCAGGGTTCCCCCCTCCCAGGGTCTCCCCTTCCCTCCCCTTGTGGCCCTCATGGCTCAGGCTTTTCTGGCTTGTTTGGGTGGGTTAAAAAAACAAACAAACAAACTTTAAAAATGAGTCATCAGAGCCTTTCCAAAAAACCAGCAGCCTCTGCTGGCTGATCCAGGCCCGGGGAGGAGGGAACTGGGGTCCCGGCTGGGGACAGGGCAGGTGGTAGCCACTGACCACAGACTGCTGGTGGGGTGGTGGGCAAGCCCAGAGGGACCCCAGCACCCCCCTGTAGCCCCATGCCTCAGTTTCCCTAGCAATAAAATGTGGCTGCCGGTACCATCCCAAGAGCAGGAGGGCTCCCATTGCTCACCCCCAGCACAGACACGGTGGCTGAGCAGAGTGGTCCGGGGCTCCAGGCCATCCCAACTGCAGTGCCGGGTCCCCAGAAGCTTTACCTTGAGTCACAGCAGCTGGGTCACCACCAGCAATGCCAGGCAGATGGGACACGTCCTCGCTGTGTCCTCTGGGACAGCACCACCAGAGAGGAAAGGACGATGAGCATCTCAGTGGGCTGTTCTGCCCCAGCATGGCATAGCTGCCCTGCCCCCCAGCACAGCCTCTCTGTCACCAGTACTGCCTCCCTGTCCCTAGCATGGCACAGCCTTCCTCTCCTTGGCACTGCCAGTGGCCCCAGTCTGTCCCTGCCTGTCCTTCGGGGTGGTGAGTGCCCCGTGGGACTCACACCCGCACACTGCCGCACTGTGACAGCAGAGGTGGCGAGTGGGTGGGTGGAAGCATGTCCCCCCCCTCCAGCTCATGTGACTTCCTGCCACTGTCACACCTCAGCCAAGTGTGCTTTGACACCACCATCGCCGGCCCCGCGCCACGAGAGGTTGTGCCCCACCATGGTCCTGGAGCCAACCCCCACAGGCTGGCTCCCTGGCCCCTGCCTGAGTCCTGCTAAGGAGCCACTGCTGGTTGATGGGGGGCTGCCAGGGGGCTGGCATGCGAAGGGCAAGTGCAAAGGGTGACAAGGTGTCTGGGAATGACAAACTCCACAGCCCCTGTGTTTCAGGTGCAGCCTGGAGGGTGACAAAAACGAAAGGTGGGAGGGACAGAGGAGAGAATCTCCCACATGGAAGACACCTGGGACCAGACCCAGAGCGGCACCCCAGCAGTCCCCAGTGCAAAAAGCATGAGCAAGGAGCAGTCAAAGGCACTGTCGGCACCCTGACCCCCCTGCTCTGGAGCACCCCTGGGGTCCCTGGCACCTGCACACCACCCTGATCCCAAGCTCTGCTGCAGCCCCAGAGGCCCTGGCGCCCACACCCCACCCCACCATCCTGCTCTGCTGCACCCCCACGGCCCCCGGCACTGTAGCCCCATGGCACCTGTCCCACCCCCAGCCAGATGCCGCCTGCTCAGAGCTGGCCAGGCTGCGGGACAAGACTGCGCCTTCTCAGCTTGGCTCACCCACAGCTTGACACCGGGACGGCTCTCC